CTACATATCCGTGGTACCTGGAGCACACGGCGTGGTGGTTTACTCGCCACTGCAGTTTGAACGATAAAATGATATTGAATAAAGACAAGAAGCACAGTGATTTTTTTTTTTGTAAATTGTGCCATTACACTGCATTTATTTTGAATCTGCAGTATTGCATTTCTTCACAGCTCCTGTATTTCTTCATTTTGTGAGTAGGGCCAAGGGGAAGTTCCATTTCATTAACCTTTTTTTTTCTACGAAGCCTTTCCAATGGCATTATGAGCCTGTATAATAGGTTGGGATCAGGTCCTAATTCACTCAGTTTAACCCATGTTTTTAATTAGTCTAGAGTCTAGACAGTAATCTTTAAAGTGTGAGGCACACCTCACCTCTGCAAGGCAGGTGTGAAATAACACTTAGATGCTGGATACAGAAGTAAAAATACTTAAGAATTAGGGCTGTCGAATTGTTTAATCTGATTAATCACACAGTAGTTGTTAATTAATAATGATTAATCGTGAATAATTGTGATTGTATATTGCTAAAACAGAAAGACACACCTGTGGTCCACACCTGTTTTTAATTTGTGGCTAATTCAAATTGTGGAATTGTTCATATGGAATAATGTCAAGAAAAAAGTATAAAACTATAACTGAAAATTCAGCGTCATAGAGTTGGTGGGTTTGACATCCAATTTTTATACCTTTAAAGACTATTTGAGATGTTTTTGTTCTCGTGTGTGCTGTAGTAGGTAGGTGTGAATAATTGGTGGGTGGAGGACGCCACCTGGATGACGAGAATTTGCCACTCACAACTCAAACTGCATATTTTTCCCTTTTTCCCTTTTTTGTCACTTCTGTAATGCTCTCCCTGTTCAGAGGTGAAATGATAGTGTTTGGTATTCTTAATGGACACAAGCAACCTTAAAACCTCTAATAGAGCATCCCTGTAATTCAAAGTTGGCGGTGAGTTTTTAGGTGGGATCTGTTGACAAGACTGAAAATATATATAACACCCAGTGGAACACAGTAGATTGATGTGCATTACAGCCTGGCGCTGAACCAACTTTAGAACAGTAAAGTGCCTCAGTGAACACTAGTGATGATGGGTAATCACTTGATTTGCTTTTTCCCCGAACCCTGATGCAGCCATCACTTTGTACCTACAACCTTAAAGATAATGCTCCACCACAGCCTGGAGGTTTTTATTGCTGCACTGGAGGCGAGCAGTTTCCCTGAATGCCTTCAGTCATTGCTCAGGTTGATGTAAAGAAAACATCTTTGTTGTACCTTTGTGAGTAACATCTTTACTAGGAGAAATATATGGCTGTAGTAGAAATAGGCAGCTTCTCACTACACCGCTAAGTGTACAGGAAGTTGTTTATCACTAAGTGATTTGAAACACTTGGTTATGAAGCACTGTGTGAGTACTGAGGTTGTATATTACATTTGTTATGGCAAAGGAGGAAGTTTTTGCTTAACGAGTGAAAGAGTGAGACGTTTTTAGAAATTTAAAAGAAGTTCAGCTCGACGCCATCTTAGTTTTCCAGACCTTATGTAGAGGCTGAGACTTTGAAGGTGTGTCAGTAACATAACACAGTAGTTTGCACATCGTTTTCTGCAGTGCCCCCTCTTGTGGAAGGGTCTATATGACACCTACAACCACCTTAGAGAGCATTCAGAGTTATTACCTCAATAATTCCTACAAATTGATTTTCTCACTGACAAAAATTGCTCGGCGTCCTCTAATGAGGTTCCGACACCCACTTTGTGAACCACAGATATAAAATTAGATGTGGTCGTAAGTGGACCACATATATAATAGGACTTTTTTGCCACTACAGAGTTTTCATACTGACATCATAAGTAAAGTTTGTTGTTTATTTTACTAATGGTCCACACCTGTCCTGTATCTCCCCATTTCAAGAAGTACACAGACATTACACAGGTATTTTTGTTGCAGGTGTTTGTTCCTGATGTTAACTATCGCTGCAAGAACAGCTTAGATGCAAATCCCTTTGTGTAACACCTAACTGGTGCACGCACACTTTAACTTCTCAAAGTTTGAAGTTGTTTACGCAGAAATGTGTCATGCCGCTTTGTGCGTCCCCATTACCTGCAACAACCTCCTTAAAAGTGCGAACAAACTGATTGGTCGTGCTGACGCACTTCAAAAAGGAAAAAAAAAAACACAAGTCGATGTTAAACATATACTTTCCTGGAGAATCAGACTCTGGTTGCGAACATGATCTCGATGTACTTCGCTGTCGCAGTCAAAATGAGAGGCTGCGGCCTTTGAAGACATCTCTGGAGACAGATTTTGTAGGTAATTATGTCAGTGTTATATGTGGCCCTGCTGTGACTGTGTCCATTTAAAGTAGTGCTTAAGCAACAGCCATCTGAAGCCCACACTGCTGCCCTGCTTACCCACTTGCCTTGATGTCAAGTCCGGGCGAAAGGAATCTTAAGAAGAATGTTTCCCGTGTGATGAGTGAAGCTGGAGCAGCCTGGTGGCCTGGTTGGCTTATTACATCAGATGAACTACAGTATCCGTGCCACTGCTTTGCAGATCCTTACACAAATAGTTTGCGTCTGGCGGTAGAAACTGCACGCAGAAGCATTTCTCCTGACCTAATGTGCCCTGAGTTACGTCGGCCGCGAGCACGGACCTTTAAGGCGACGTCCAGTTGAGGCGGATTCTCAACATTTTGACTCTCGCTCTGAGCGTCACGTCAGCCATCAACTTAAAAGGGATTCAGGGGCTTTTCTGAAGGGCTCCCAGGAGAGTCCTCACAGAGTTTCAAAGCAACTAAAAGGGTTTGCAGACAGACACTCTCCGCGGATGCCGCTTAATCACATGAAAATAAGGGAGGAAAGCGCGGTAATGCAGTGTAGGATAAACATTTCTTCTCTCAGCTTACTATGCACGAACTGTAAACTCAAATTGCCGGTGCCAACTTGAGCTTTCCAAATTATCTAGTTCCCAAACATTTTCTCTTCTGCACAAGGCAGCCATGGCTTTGATTAGTTCTGCTGGGCCAGCACAGGTGAAGCACATCCTCACTAACAAGGTGGTTTCCAACGAGGGAGCACTGAAACCTAACAGGAAAAACAACATGATGGAGAGGAGAGCTGGGTTCCAGCAAAAGAGGACGCAACCACTGCTTAAAATAATCCTCCGCCTGATAGTTTTTACCACCAGCTATTGTCAGATCCTTAGAGGAAACAGTGGGAGTGAGGAGGAGTCTCAGGGGGGCAGCATGATCACCTGGAAGTGAGCTGTGAACTCATTTATACACGGTGTGCGTCCAGCACAGACCTACGTTACATGTTTAACGCTTCATAGTGGAGTCATGTGACCCAGGGGTTGCCGGATGTTTCTGTTATGACGTGACAGTTCCGCTATCAACGCATACAGACACGTAACAGAAGCTCGTAGTGTCCTGGTTTTGTATGCAATTAAATCACTCCCCACTCCCGGTCTTACCAGATCCTGGAGATAATGTATGCTGCCATCATCGCCTCGGTCTTTATTTAGTCAGTCAGTCAGCAACACCGGCACAGTAATGGTGTAACAGCACAGACTTGTGGTGACTCGACTTCATGGCATCTATTTTATTCATGGTGTCGAGTGTATTTTATCCATTTCTTTGACGACCATCTTCATGTCGTCATGAAGATGGAGTATATTAAACGTTTATTTTTTTATTTGTTTTTTTTAATTATTTACTCACTTCTTTAATGTGATGACAATATTTACTAAACTACACGTCTACTGCAGTGTTGAATGATGAGCTTAACCTTTAAATCTCGACTTCTAACAAAAGGTTTCCTGACTGAATTTTAGAAGTAAAAAAACTAAAAATAACTGAATAACTAATAAAAAGTAACTTAATTTAAATGTATTCCTCTCCATAACCTTCATCATTTAAGTCTAATCATTATCTCTTCATGTTTAGTCTTTGGGCTGAAATCAAGGCCTTTTGAAGTTTTGGAAAAAAATATATATATTTATTGCAAACCATCAAACTATTTTTTTTTTCAAGTTTGTTAAAAATGCAATATCCTTGCTGATTCCAAGAGTCTAGAGTTGAAAAAACAAATTTAATAAAATATACCAAAGTTCACCTCTCAACGAAGACCTGATGATAAAACTTGTCAAAGGTGTAGTAGACGCCTGAGAGACACGTCTTAACAGCATTTAATTATTTAAATCATTTTTTTAAATTTATAAAATCTAACCTTCAACTTTTGAAACAAAACTCTGTGAAACTACTTTAACAAATGGAATATTCATATACGTCTTTAAGGTTCATTTAAGGACATATATTTCGTTACACGTTTACGTAACCCATTCTGACTCGTCGTAGTTTACCATCTCCAGCAGCATGAGTCCAATATTGTGACATCTTGGTGTACCCAGCTGCACTCCATAGATGGCAGAAGAATTCCAAATCACAACACAGGGTCACAGCAGTCACAACATGAAGGAGCTCCATCTGGATGTGTGTACTTGTGGGTACAGCCAACCCCACTTGTGTTTCGCACGCCTCTGTGCTTGTATTCGTGTGTCCCAGTGTAACCTCTTTGATCTGTCAGAGTTTATACTTATCATTCTGAAGTGCGGTGTGCTTTTGGCTCCTCGGCTTTCATCCCTCAGCCCCTCGCATCCCTGTTTGGCTTGTAAGTAGCTGGCATAGAAAACCCTAAAAGCCTTAAAAGCCCCCGGTACAGGAGTTGAGCCTCTGCTGTCCATTTAACCTGACATGATTTGGAATAACTCAGCTGAACTAGTTGAACTCAACCAGGTCGCTGCAGTGTGAATGCTATGATATAAACACACTGACACACACAAATACAGTCCAAGCACACACACACACAGACAGATTTTAGTGGAAAGCTAGGGACGGCTTTAAGAGCATTGAGTTTTGAAAGGCTAAGACTCTTTTCCTAATCCTCAGCCTGCTTTTCCTCCACCATCCGTTTTACTCTCTCACTGTTTCTTTTTCTCTCTTGCAGGAGAATTCTAAGGAGATTTCTTACTCTTTCGTTCCTCAAGGATGAAACAGCACGGCGGATTTTTGTACTGAAACAGGTATATGCACCAGAACCTTCATGGCCTTAAAAAACACACACACATGCACGAAGTGAGAGAACAAGAAGTAAAAATGAGAGAGAGAAGGATATAGTGAACACTGTTGACAAAGGAAAAAAATAGGAAGACTAAACTGTTGTTAGGAATAGAAGACTGGCAGAAGACACTGTCAAATGTTAGCTTCCTGCTCCCCTTTGCTGCTGTGGCTCAGGACAGAGTTGAGGACAGACGTGCAGAGAGGACGTGACAGTCCAGTGTCCCCCAGCTGATCTAAAACACTTCCTGTGATACATTATTAAATATGCAGCTTCCTAACGCATCGCTGGGCTCTCCTGCCATATTAGCGCTCGAGACTGCATAGCATCACCATTCTAAATATAAAGCTTTTGCTCAGCCCGCTTTGGTTTGTTTAAAGATGCAGAAGCTGCATGTGGGCTTTCTCCTGTGTCTTCTGACACTGGCTGTCTGCTTAATCTGTCAGTCCGTCTGTCCCCCTCCTCCACTCTAAACCGTATGTACATGCTCTGGGTGGTAAACAATTTACTATTGAGATTTGGTGAAACATAACTGAGTGTCAGACGTAGAACCTCTGATATTTATCTCATCAAACTCCCCTGAAATTACTTCAACATGATAATGCAAAATACTTGGAACCTTCAACAGAGAGTCACATGCACTGTAAATGACACCAGCATGTGTCATAAAACGATTTTCACACTTCTCTTCAGTGTTACTGACGCTGTAACACTGAAGATGTTTGTTTTATTTTCTAAATCCTGTTTATTTATATTTATTTAGTGATTTTTATCAGGTCGTGCTGAGGCTTTGTGGAGCTAGGAAGACCCGATGTGGTCTATAGGTGGCAGCAGAGCAACGTAGCCAGCAGGCACGTTTAAAAGAGCATCATTGGCCCATTTTTACTAGTGAAATCCCCGTGCAGGCTTCTCTTCATTAATCTCCTGTCTCTTCCACGACGGTTTTTCAAGCAAATGATTCTTCCTGGCCAAGAAAAACAGTGAAAAAAAAAATCAATATGTTGTCTTGTTGATAGATCAAGCAGTGTGCACACCATTCACACTACGCCTCTTTCATTTCAGCTCCCACTTTCCAACTCCATGCTCTACAATGAACCATGAGCCAAGGTAAGGATGTTATCTCTGAGTTCACCTTTTTAGGGACTTGTATGTTTGTGTGTACGTGTGTGTGTTTAAGGACTGACAGGACCAGCCTTTAAAACCAGTCAGATCCATACACTACTGGTGTTGCCATAGTGTGTGGCTCCGACTTGTACACTGGTGTGAGGGCTTGTTTCTCTGTATTGACACTGTCAGCAGCTCCATGTGTGAGGGTGCTACAGTGACTGATGGTTGGGTGCTGTGGAGGTCAGAGTGGAATGTGAGGGTGCTGAGGAGGGAGACAGGGTGGAGAAATGAACTACCTGGGGCCCAGGGCTTTTGCATGGTAGTGTGAGTTTTGATGCTGCGTTGGACATTTGTGACTTTAATGTCTGTTTGTTTTTCATGGTCAAAAGAAATGAATGTTTGAGGAGACACTTGCTTGTGTAATTGACATCATGATCAACATGACTGGTTCAGACAGACGCAGTCATGCAGGGACACATGCAAAATCACTCTCGGCAGAGGCGACAGGAGGCAGACGTCCAGTACTGTAGGGTAGCCGGGAACGTGTGTGTCTGTGTGTGTAAATTGCCTTGCCAAATAGACCTTGACTTTGTCCCACTTCCTAGTCCCCTATCATTTTAATTGGTTGCTCTGAAAACTGGGACAATCCATAGAAATGTCCATTAGAACAGTGAGTGGAAGAACGGTGAAGTGTTTTAAAATCTGATCATTTAAGTATGTCATTATTATAGTTTTTATTTTTCCAGCTCCATATGTCCTATGTGTGGAAAAAAATATGTTTTTAATTTAAGCGTTTTAAGTGTTGCTCAAGTGTTGTCAAGGAAAACTGTGGGCTCGCAGATGTAGCAGCTAATTCAGATAATGATTACAATATACTCCAGATGTCCATGGGAGTATGATGAAGTCTCTTTTCACAGTATTTTGTCCAGAACTAGAATGAATCGTACTTCATGCACATGTTGTTTTTCACAGTATATTGTGTACATAAAGCCACAGAAGAAACCATATGCCAATATAAGCAACACTCCTGAAGTGTTGTTTTTCATATAAAATATATTTTCAAATACATTGCATTGAGCACCTGAGGAGAAAGGAAGTAATAAAATGAGGAAATGATTTTCTCCTTTATTGGGAAATATAGGGCTTGACTTTTCTTTCGAGGATGTGTACATTAATACTTCCTGCTCTACACACACACACACCTGAAATCTGCCACAATGACTGAGTACAAGCAATGCCAGAGTATTTGGGTATTTTCACAGTCACGCTCTATATAAGAATATAAGCCATTTTAATGCTTCTCTCAAGTATCGTTAGACTGTGAAGACTCCTATGATAAGATACTGTGAAAGATATGGTGGGACGTTTTAAAGACAGCCATCTTCTGGGATTATGATTCTTTAATGGAGAGTTTATTCTGCACTCACCACTTTATCTGAAACTGTGGAATCACCTGCAGCACTGTAGCACATGTACGACAGAGAACGTACTGTAGGGCAGTTCATTTAGTTCTTAGCATGAACGGTGCTGATCTTAGGGCAGAATATCCTTGACAGCTCCTCCCGAAGTCTCTGCTCTCTGAAGTAATCTGAGGTAAACACTGTCCTCTTTATTATCTCTCTCTCTCCCTCCCTACCTCCCTCTCTCTTTCTCTCTCTCTCTTGCTCTGTAACCATCTGTGCATGAGGTGAGTGTGAGGTTAAAAAATAGCATATTTTGTTGCCTCATTAGTCCGTATGCGTAGCCAGACTCGAGTGTCACATTAAAAAAATTAGGGCTGTGGAGAATGTCTCAGTCTCTCACACACACACACACACACACACACACACATACACACACACGTACTCGCACAGGTCTGTCATTAGTGGAGACGGAACATGTGGTACAGTGCTAATGGGATTATCATTGCTGAGGGTCCCTCTTATCAACCTTTTACTGCGCTCCCTCATCACAATTAAGCTCGGCTACTCCCTCACCGCACATCCACACACGGTGAAGATAAAGAGCTAAGGTCGTAGCTTGACCAGGATTTTTTTTTTTAATTATTATTATCTCCACGTCCTCATCTTTTAAATGCATTTAAACACTTAAAAGCAGAAATAAGTGGAAAATGTTGTTGATTTTGTCAACAATCATGTCCCACAAGGTTCTGTCCAGCGCCCCCTTCTGTTTGTCATTCACCTCCCCCTCAATTGGAAATTCAATTGGGAAATATGGTTTCAACTTCCACTGCTATGCAGATGACACCAAGCTCTATCTCACTCTAAAATGTTCATGGAACCATGTCCCCTCCTCTCTCCATGACTGGCTAAAAGGCATTCAGATCTGTTTTTCGTATGAGCTGCGTTTATGTCCTGGTAACCGCTTGCTATACAGCAGGTTCCAGGTTTGATTCCACCTTGTCCCCAGTCATATTTTTAAAAAAAACAAAACTCTACCAAATCATTGTGTTTACTCACCTTGTCAATGGGTGACAAGGGAACAACCTGAAAGTGACACATCTTTAGTCATCATTTATCTAGTCTTCTGTCTGTTGACTTATGATTGCAGCCTTCTAATGCTAGCTGTACTGATTTATTGACATGTATGTTGGCTGCACCAACACCCCTGGCACAGTGTTTGTTAGTATTGGCCTGCTTCCATTCGACCTGTTACATCACAGATCAAAACAGCAGACACCGCTGAACACAATTTGACACGTCATTCATGATGTGTATGCAGCTGTAATCTGTGCCTTTTTATTATAATATTATTATGATTCTATTTTAGGGCTAGTGTCACCTGCACGTGATTCAGTGCAGTGCTTTTTCTGTCTGCCACAGGCAGGCCTGAGCTGCTACGTAATTGTGAAGGGTGTGCTCAGTGTCAATACCTCAATCTGCCCGAATGCTAATCATACACACAGGAATTATTTAACTAATTAACATAACTTATTAACATTATTTGACTGTAGTGGAGTGTTCTGAATTTAGCAAATAACCAACATCTGTAGCTGCATTTTATATCCAACAGTATGTATCGATCCATACAGGATCCATACATTTATTCAAAAGTACCTACATATAATATATATATATATGTGTGTGTGTGTGTGTGTGTGTTATATAAATATATGGTTTCTATGAATGAATATATATTTAATATTATAGATTCTTTTAGCCTGTTCCTTTGAAAAAGCAGCTTCCATGCTGTGGCTAATGGTCGTCTTATATGGATCCTGAATGTTCTCTAACAGCAGAAAACTGCGTGAGTTTTCTGCTGTTACTCCTAGGTTTCCTTCCACGGTCCAAAAACATGCAGGATTGTATGAATTGGACATTTTAATTGAGTGTGAATGTGATTTATTTTTGTCGCTGTCTGTATCTCTGTGATAGACTGTGTACTATCCAGAGTGTGCTTCACTCTCACTCGATGACTGCTGGCATTGGCATTAGCTAGCACCGGAGAATTGATGGATGGATGCAAATGTTGTTTCTAGACATGAAGCTAATGCACCCTTCCTAAAAAGGAAGGAAATATATATTATGCCTGACTTATGTCTCTAATGGGACACAACAGTGGGTGAAGGGAAGATTGGAAAACCTCTGTATCTGTTGTATCCTTCAGTCACACTGACATTCACCTCTCAACCCCTCTCTCCCCCTTATCAGTACTTCATCAAAGTAATGTTACCCATAACCACTCAATTTCGCTGTGTTTATCTTGTTGACTGTAATGGCGTAATGGTCTGTCCACACAGTTGCGTTGAGTGGTCGGTTGAAGAGGAGTGGTTCACTGGAGAACCATCCGTGGTGTTACGTATACCGTCGTATGGCAGGCGTGGGAACAGGGGGCTTGGTGCAAGCAGAATGTTTGAACACCATCCCTCACACAGACATAAAGAGAAATCTAAAAAAAACCACTGATGCACACACAGGCGCAGACCCTCACAGGCAGTGGATTAAGACAGGGATTATTGGAGCGTAGCTGTTAAACAGAGTCATACTTCAGATACATACAGTACACATATGTGTTAAGAGTGTACAGTGGGATGGATTTGTACCAAGGCAGATGGTTTATGACTTATGTTCATGCAGGGCCACCTCTGGCCTGTGACTGGCCTCGGTGAGAAGAGGGTTGTGACTCTCGTCTTTTCTCCCATAACAGCAGGATGAAGCAGGATGTTGACACACTGATGCTTCATTGATAATTATTACAATGCACAGTGTTTGGTTCTGAGTGATCATACTGCTATTACACAGTATGTGCTTAATTTATTTGTGGGTTTTTTGTGAAATAATAAATTATAGATTTTTTAGTGCTTTGCTAGTGACTGGGAAGTCGGCAGCATTGTGTGTATGAATCAGTCACTAGAATTTATTTAGGATATTCAATAACACATAATGCATAAAAAATGACTAAAACCAGCCAGAAACTACTGTTTTCGACTGGTCTATCTTCTTCTTCTGCACCAGAGGTTATGACTTAAGCTGTATCTGTTTGTTCTGTGAGCAGCTTTACTCTGTACTGTAGGTCTTGCACAGATGGTAGCCAAGCCATATGCTCTGACAGAGGTTTATACTCTCTGAGCACATCACCAGCTAAAGGCTGGGGCACAGCATTTGACTTCTTTATTCCCACCACAAGTGTAGAACCTTTTCTGCAGGAGTGTAGTTAAAGAAACCAGAGGGATTGCATTGGCCGAGCCATGTGCTGAATGTAGGGCAGATCACATTCAACGCTTCCCCTGAGTTGGACCGCTTTATCATGAAATGTAATATCGTGATAGTTTAGTGTATCAATATTTATTACACTGCTACTAATTAACCATTAACCATGTTTATGTACATGGAAGGAAACTAGAGTCTCTAGAGAAAATGCAAATTCCATACAGAAAGACCAGGAATTGAACCAGCAAACTAGTGATCTTCCTGCTGTCAGCGAAGAGCTCTAACCACTCTGGCTGTAGCTGCACGTTTATTGTTGAATAAAAGTTAAATTGGAGAAAGGAGGATTTTAAA